ATTAATTCATAAATTAATTTTAATTTATTAAATAATAAATATAAATTATTTTATTAATTATTAATAATAATTAAATTAAACAAAATTATATAACCTTTATATCATAAGGCATCATCATAATCACATCCATCTAAATTTCGCACTTAAGTCAATTAGCGTTGGTCAATAACTGACTAATGTGTAATATGGTTATGAGAGAAAGACATTTGTTAAAAAAGAAAAACCTATATTAATTTTTTAAAATAAAGTAAAATTAGAAGTTAACTGTTATATATAAAGTTTATACAGATAATATTTCTAATTTATATGTTAGACCAAAGTAAATAACATTTACATGATGTAAATAAAATAATGTATAACACTAACTAGACACATGTTGTACGGAATGAGTATTAATATATCTATTCTACATTAATCCTCATTGCACTAACAGCCCCTAGTGGACTGGTAATGTGCATTAACACCTTAGTCCATGCCAAGGTTTCGAGTCCCTATTGGGACAATTTTAATATTTCATACTCCCCTTTAAAATTTCCCTTTGTTCAAAAAAAAATTTTATATGTTAGACTAACAGTGATTACCTTATTAAGAAGCATTCTTTTGGAACTTGGCCCAACTTAGTTGGTTTAATTGATTGAGTCAGATTTGGTTTAAAAAATGAATATAATTATGATAATAACTTATGTGAAGTCAAATTTGATCAACACCCATTCAGACTCGGTCAAACTCATCCAAATCCAATCAACTTAATTGACCAAAATTGATGCAACTCTTTTTTTTATATATTTTTTCATTTTTTCATTTTTCTTTAATTTTTATATTTCTATTTATTTCATTCATAGATAATATAATAATGATTAAATATCAATTTTGGTCCCTTAATTTTAAGATTTTACATAATTTTTATCCTTTAATTTTTTTACACTTTTTTAGTCCTTCAACTATGAAAAATATTTTTTTTTAGTCTTTCAATCAATTAATCTGTTAAATTTATCTAAATATACATATTTTTCATTCCTTAACTGCATATTTTTAGTCTCTTAACTTAAAGTTAAGAAATGAAAAATGTGCATATATTAAAAGTTGAGGGATTAAAAAACTGCATGTTTAGATAAACTTAATGAATTAATTGATAAAATGACTAAAAATGTACATTTTTCACAATTAAAGGACCAAAAAGTGCATAAAAAAGTTTAAGGATAAAAATTATGCAAAACCTTAAAGTTAAAGGACCAAAATTGACATTTAACCTATAATAATTAAATTGTAAAATCTATTTAAAGTCAAATCACAATTAATAAATCAAAATTTTTAAATTAATTTAGATGTAATTTAAAATTAATTGTTATTTCATATTGGAGAATGATTTTAATTTA